GATCACAAGGTCAGAGTAGTGCTAAATGATTGGAATAAATTTTGATGTCTGGGATAGCACATATGTGATATATTTTCTGGTATTTGCTTAAGAGACAAAGTTTAATGCAAAGCACACTATTGTCTTGTGAATACTTTAAAGTATATTCACTAATTGGAGATTAAAATCAAAAGATACCTTCTTATATGTATGTGTTTATTGTTGTTGAGTTTGGAGAAATATTACAATCTAATGGGGCATTGTTAGAGAGATTATAATATATCTCGTTCAAGATCACACGTTTCAGATCACTTTGGAGCGTGATGACTGAGTGTCGTGACTGTCTTCAACGCTGCAACGCATGTTTAGAAGCATTACAGCTAAAGGAGCTGCACAATCTGGTGTAGGCAGCAAGGGGCAAACACTGCAGCGCCCCACCTGTGTGCAGCAGTGCCACTTGATACAACACGTTTTGCGTTCAGGTTTGAGCAGATTACTCTGGTTCAAGCGTAGCAGCGCCCGGTACTGATTTTGTGCAGTTTTGACGCATGTGATTTGAATTGTGTTGAATCATTGCAACCATTTGTGATATGTTTTCATACATTTTTAAATACCTATTAGCAATAGACATATCTATTGTAATAGATGCATTATTACATGAAGATATTGTAACAACCTGAAGAATTAAACAGGTTTAATTATGTTAATTGTGATTTATTAGTGTGCCTAATTTGATTTTCTTAATTAATTATGTTTATAAAATATTTTCTAATCTCCAAGTTTTAAATATTTCTAAGGAATTTAAACTATTTTCAGTATTTATAATTCCACCCCAGAAGTATGTGGAAACGCATACTCTTACCTATTTTTCAAAATATCTTTTGATGTTTATCTTTATTTTTCTCTCTCTTTATCTTTTCCTTTTTCCTTTTCTTTCTTCTCTCTCACCATAGCCCTCTCACTCTCTTTCTTCTCTCATATCTCACTCTCCCTCTTTCTCTTGTTTCACTCTCTCCCCAACTCTCTCTCCCTCACTATTCTCTCTCCTTCTCTTTCTTTCTCTCAAATTGTCACTCTCTCTCTAAGGGAGCTTTGATCCAAGATTTGAACAAAAAAGGGAAAAGGTTTCATCACCAAAGGAAAGATTAAGGTAAATTCTTTGAAAAGCTCACTCTTGAATTTCAATTTTTCTTTAGTGAAACTTGTTTTGGTTTAGTTTGGTGAAATCTTAGTTTAAGCTTGATTTTGATGGGCTTTGGTTGAAATCATGATGGAATTTGGGGGTTTAATTGTTTGAACTTATTGAAATGATTGGAACCTGGATTTAGCAATTTCCATGAAAATATCTTGAAATCGAACCCGAAAATGCAGGGTTTGGCACTTTTTCTCGTGATTCGGCCATTTTTCCCCGAACTCCACCAGTCGACCGGGGCGGTCGACCAGTCTCCACACAACCGGCCAACCGGTAGAGTTACACCCATTTGCCACCGGTTGATCGGTATGCACTTACTTCGACCTAAAAATGCATTAAAACCTTGTTTTAATCTTAAATTTCAATGGAGAACCAACTTAACTTCATTTGAGAACTCCAAGTAAGTGGATTAGCCACATCAATCCTTGTTAAACTCTAAACCGTTGTTTTGATGACGAAGCTAGCGGCGGGATCGGATATTGAGCTTCAAAGATAAGTAAGGCTAGGACTACGCGAAGTGAACCATAGAATTGACAACCAAGAGGTAGGATATTCTTGTCCATATCCTTGTTAGCCTTGTTTAACATGTATTTGGCCTATGAAAATGTTTTAAAGACAACATGATTGACATCATTCAAACTTAAAGAAGAGTTTAAAGTGATAGTTTTCTTTAAATGAGATATTTTAAGAAACAGTAAAATGCATGATGGCCTAGAGATCGGGGTATGTAGATCATATCCTTGGGGGCAGGTCCCAAAATCCATACAGGCCACTTCGGTGGTGATATCATGGCTTTACGATAAGGTAAGTGATTCATCATAATCTTAAAAATCACTTACTGTAATATGGAACTTGGAATTTATGATTATTTCCTTTCAATAAAAGGATGTTTGGTTCGGAATGATATGTTCGGACCATGTACTTTTGTTTATTGATAAAGTTTTATGAAATTATATCATATTGGATCGTTCGCTCACTTTTTCTCTATTTTTAATGTTTTAAACTCCTCTCAGGCGACGCTAGAAGTAGTGCCAAGTAAATAGTGACTACCGGTGACGCTAGCTCGATCTAAAGAAGTGAAGAAGTTGTAATTTACTTCCTTCCTTGCCGCATACTTCTTAAGGCATATATAAATTATGGTTTGTAATCTTTAATACTATTAGACTGTGGTTGATGTTTATATTTATTTTCTAACTTGTTTATGTATGCTACAATATGGATTTCCTATGGGGAGACCTGACATGATGCCAGAGACTTAATTTTGAAACTCATTTTATTGTGGTATTGTGAAATCCACCTCATTTTTCCTTAAACTTAACTTTCCTTAAAATAGTGAGGTTTGTTTGAAAATTCTTAAATATATATTATCTTTGAAATTTATTTTAACATTATTAAATGCTTAATTATTTTCTTAATCCTGTTTAATTTCTAAACACTGTCTTTGTAATGAGAGAGCTAGAGAGCGAGAGAGACAGGCTTAGCCTTGGATGATACAGGGAGATGGGTCACATCAGCTTGGAAACCACCTGCGTTTTATTTTCTCGTTGATATGACATTGCTTGATCGGTTAGCTTCCTCGGTGCCGGCCAATTTGTTAGTTAAATTAAACAACCTAAATTCGATCAACTCTGAATTGGGTACAAAGTGCTAACAAACAATGATATAGGGTTAGTGCCGAATAGAATGATTTGAGGGGCAGTGTAAATAAACAATAATACAACATCTTTAGTGCCTAATGAAATAATTGGAGATAAGCAAATTTCAAGGGTGATTGCCAATTAGTCTTAAATCTTAAATAGAAAGAAACGAACAATCGATCATTACAAAAATTTATTTACTTTTTTTTTTTTTAATTTTGGTCCGAGTACTAGGATGATTGTGATGTATTCGGGCAAAAAATAAATAATAAATGGAAAAAATAAAAACTGTTGTTTATCTATCTAGTCTAGGATTTAAAAATTTGTAAGATTGTCAATAATTGATGTGTAATAGCCTAATAGGTGACTAGTGTAGTTTTTTATTTTTCCCAAGAAAGGTGACAGTAGTTAATCTTAAGGGAGAAATTGAAAAGCAACGAAAAAAGAAAATGATGCTGCAATTGAAGAGGACCAAAAAATTGAGTTATGACATATTGTGTTTGTAAGTGAAAAATATTATAATAAAAAAATTAAATTTAAATTTTTGTGAGAAAAAATAATGTAACAATATGACTTGATTTGAGTCATGAAATGAATATATTAAAGGATCATTTAGTTCGTTGATTTACGTTTTTAATTCGAATTGAAATGTGACTTTATGTGAGAATTTTTTACTGTAACAAAAAAGTTAGATGTGACTGTTTCTGAGAGCTTTTTACTATAATAAAACTCAAATCAGTAAAATGAATAGGGCCTAAGTATTTGAGTAGAAAGATGTAGGAATAGAGTGAAGATTGCAACTTGGTATTTTATTTCATTTGACTGTTGGAATATTTTAGGGCCCGTTCGGTTCGCTAATTCGAGTTTTTAATTCGAGTTGAGATGTGATGTTGTGTGAGAGCTTTTTACTGTAGCAAAAAAAAATTAGATGTGATTATTTCTGAGAGCTTTTTACTGTAGCAAAACTCAAATTCTAAACTCGAATCAGCAAAAAGAACAGAGCCTTAGTTTTTCAAAAGAAATTATCAACATCCGACATCTGTTGATAATACTAAACATTGAAAAAAAAAATTTACCCTCATTGATAATTCATCAAGTTAAAATCAAATAAGTTTAGAGGTATAAGTTACAAGTTTGAGCCGTCCGGTCTGGGCCTAACAGCCCAAAGGGAAATTTTAGGCTGGGCCGGCCAGCCCTAAAAGAGAGAAAGTAGGCCCAACCCAGAATTTTATAAGCAGAAATAGTAGAAAATAAGCCAATATGAAAAGCTTAAGAAAGTATATAGGCCAATTTTTAGTTATATAAATTAATATGCCATAACTTGTCAAGTTATGGTTCATAACCAGATAAGTTATGGACAAACTTATCAAGTTATGGTTCATAGTCAGACAAGTTATGAACAAAAACCATAAATTATTAACAATAACTTGTCAAGTTATAGTTCATAACCAGATAAGTTATAGACAAAAACAGTAATTTGACTTATTTATTAACTTATGTAAACTATTAGCCTATTAATTTTAATTCATCTCAAGTCTTTGCATATTTCCCTCTTTCTTCCTTATATAACGTATTTTCAAAAATATCTTTAAAATATGATGCACGAGCCGGGCTAAAAGAGAGAAAGTCGGCCTAATCCGACCTCAAGTCTAAAACAATTTAGAAGAAAGAGAGGATTTAACCTTAAAAATGCATGAGTCTAGACATTTACCTATTACTATTGATAAATACACTTTTATTAGCGTAATTATTTAACTAAATAGGATATGAATTAAGAGTAAAAAGATAAAAATCATGACGCATGCACATTTAAACAATATTTGTCAAGATTACTCAAAAATTTAGGGCCGAGCTAGACCAAACTCAAGCTAACAGTAACTGGCTTCATGCTAGCCTGTTTAGCCCGACCCAAACTTACAGCTCCAAATAAAATCAACGTTGAGCTAAACAATTTATTGTGCTGCAACTTTACAATAAAACTAAAGTTTATTATAAGATTCCAATATTACTTTATTCTGCTGCAGCACTACATCATATGCCACGTACATCACAGTGGGGACATGTATGCATCTAATTGAAATCACACTTCTTCATCCAACTGAAATCAACACTGTTGCCATATACAAAAATTTAAGTGGACCAACAAAAAGAACATACTTTTCATGAACAGTAGAAAACATATTGGCACTTCCTTTTTTTTTTTTTTTTGGTTTCCCTTTACAAGATGTAAAATGCATTGGTGTCCCTAAGTTCTTTGCATCAGAAACTACCTACTTGGGCTCCCAGGAACCTTTGTAAGCATCTGATACAGCCGTAACAGTCTCGGAAAGATCGTTCTTCATTTCCATAAGCTTCGACTGCACGTACTCTTTGTATTTTGAGACTGAATCAACCAAAGCAATGAATTGTTGAGCACACAGCTGAATTTCCGTTTCATTTTGTTTAATTGCTTCCTGCAACTTCAATTCAGACGCCTACAAGAAAAATACAAGCTCATCACACCACTTGACACTCAAATCAGTGAAATGAACGGAAACAAGAGGATGTGACATATTAAAATAAAACATGTAAATGCCGCCACAGTGATAGAATCCGAGAAAGAATGCGACGAATTGGCAGTAGAATTCATTGGAAAAGTGGAAGGTTATAGAGAAATTTGCTTTAGCATTTCAACTCAGATAATAAGTGCTCAATCCTATGTTGAGATTCATCAATTCTCTCCAACCATTTCCTCAGAAATGGGGCATAGTGATGTTGCTATATAACTGCCAAATCCTCTTTCTTAAAAAAGCCTCCCATCCCAAACAATACGAAGCACAATCCTCAAGCTCAAACTCAAAAAGGGTGTCTCTAGAACCCGTGGCCTTGTCCCCCACAGAGAGAGAGAGAGAGAGAGAGAGAGAGAGAGAGAGAGAGAGAGAGAGAAGAGAAAAACATAAAGCTCAATACTTTTAAATTGTATGGACTATGATATCTAAATTATTGGGTAGATTATTGTGAAACTCTATTAGTTTTGGTTTCCTTTCTTTCCTGACGAGCCTTGAACAAATAAGCAACTTATCTATGTTACTATTTATAGCACTCTTTTCCCCACAAAATTGAATCCAATCCAACATCCTATCTGACATTCGGAAGCTTTATGCTAAGTTCGCTTCCTCACATAACTATGTTCAACCCACCAAACTTTTTGACATTCCAAAGCTATATTAGAAACTTAAGTTTGAAGCTTTTTCATTTTTTTGTTTTCAGATGACAACTTACCTTCTTAATGTCTGCTGCATCTCCTTCCACAATATCCAAGTTATGGGCATCCACCTCTAACTCCTCCACCATCCTTTTTGCATCTGCTGCACATTTAGAGGTGTACGCCTGTGTTTCCTTCCTCAACAAATGCAGTTTGGTTTCCACCTGGCATACATGTCATTTATGCCAAAAAAGTAGGAACAGGTAAAGTGTTGCCCAATAAAAATCCATGTCATCAGTACAGAAAGCAAGGTATTGGTAAGAGAAAAACACCAAAACACAACAAACACAAGTAAACTATCAGTGGTACAGCGAGATAACAATAATAGCAAATTTTAGTATCAAAAGGGAACTTGCGATTGTTGTGATCATATTGTATTGCATCTATTGGTGCACTTACTTCATTGATACGGGATTCGAGTCTTGCCAGATGATTTCTTTTTCCCTCGACCTTATTAGCAATATCATTTGATTCTTGCTGAAGCGGGATAAATTCCTCCAATTTTGCCATAGAATTTTTCTTTAAATCCTCAGCAAAGGAAGCAAGTGGAGCCTTTAAAGTTGATTTGTAGTCAATCCCCATTACCTCAGCAGGTGTTGAGCCTTTGGCATTCAAGGCATACTGAAAGCCATCACCAAATTTCAACCTAGTACCAGAAAAACAAGAGCAGATGCTCAAGATAAGCGTTACATATAGTAAAAGTAAGAATCACATAACAGATTACATTCTGTAATTAGCCGAACTTCAAAGAAATACCAAACTGTTTTTTGAGGTTTCTAAAATTTCTAAGTAAGAAATTTAAAAATAAATAAAGTCCCTTGATTAAAAACACCAATAAATCAAATCGACAAATCCTAGAAATTAAGCCATACTCGAATGTAGTAAAATCTTCAATGTAGTACTACTACCCAATTAGATCAATTTCTAGCCATAAGTAACAGAGAAAATAATGTCATCAAATAATCAATCAAAGGGCAACAATAAAGCTGTACAAAACGACAAATAACAAAAGTTTTGAGATTATCTTATTAGTTGGTGTTTTATTAGTGTTATTTGATAATTTTTTATTTCATGTTTCTAAAAAGTTTCTTAGTTTTGAGACTATCGAATGAATTAAACAGACTATTGATAGTCTTCGGGTTTTATCAGCATTGTGAAATTCAGTAACAATTACTACTACTCAATTCATTCCTCGTAAAACAATTTATCTAAAACTATGCAGAGCGACTCAAGAACACAGCACATTGCATACAAAATTTGCAAAATTTGCAAAGGAAGAAAAGGGGTTAAACCTTCTCATCCCCTGGTTGCATTCCATGGCAAGAGCCTCGATCTCCTTCAACTTTTGCCCGAGCGTGGCGTCGAGGTCCCAAGACTGCTCCTCCCACAAGTTCCTCGCCATTTCCGCGTCGCCAATATCCCGCTCCACGGCCTGAAGCTCCCTCCTCATCCTCTCCACATCCCTCGACTTCACCGTCTGCGTTTCCACCCTCTTCCTCAGCTCCTCGTTCTCCTTGCAAACCCGATCCTTCTCCGCCACTTTCTCCTCCAACGCCTTCTCCCTCCTCTCCAAATCCCTCTCCAATTCCGCAATCTTCTCCCTAAGCTTCTCGATCATCTCATTAAACTTCACCACGTCCTCCTCCAAAATCCCCTTCTCCTTCTCCAGCGGCTTCTTCTTCGATGGCTCCGACTGCATTGCCTTAATCCGCGACCCAATTTCCACCGCCTGGCTCTCCAAATCCACAACCACCGCGGCCGCATTCTCCCGCTCCCTCTCCAGCTTCTCCATCCACTCCCCGGCGGGCCTCTCGCCCCTGGCCGCGGCC